AGGGGGGGGGGGGGGAAGGGGGACCCTGCGGCGGGCAGCGGTTAATGGGGGTTGGGTTGCAGCGGTGCGGTCGGGGGGGAGTCAGCGAGGGTTGTCTCGCCAGGGTGGTCGATATGGGGACTCGGAGGGCACAGCGCCGTCAGCATGAGGCTGCCGCGGACCATGATGCTCCGTTGCACGTTTTGCAACAAAGTTTTCCAAGGGACCCAATTTCAGGCCACGAGGCACTTCTCGCAGACAAACTACTGCAAGGACGTCAGCGACGAGGCATTGTACGAGATCGCTCGACGGAGTCAACAGAAGTTTGAGGCCGATCAGATGGAAAGGGTTGCCATGTATGCAGCGGAGCGTGGACTCGATGTGCCCGGCACGGGTGGCGCAAGGGGAGGAGAGGCGGGGCGGCATCCCGTGGAGGGAGGGGTCGGGGGAGATGGTGGGCATGGTGCGCCAGACCCCACTTTGGGTGGTGGAGGCAGGGAGACGGAGGAGGGTGTGATCCACGTCGATCGCGAGGCGCGTGGCCCGGGTGAGGAGGGAGTCCCGGAACGGGAGGACGTTGTCGAGCGCATCGGTGCCGCGCGGGGACCCTCCCGGCCGCGTCACGCAGGATTTGGCAGGACTTGTCGTGGAGAGCGTTTGTCGCTCCGGCCGAGTGCGTCAACCGTACCTCTCGTGAGCCCCTACGACAGGACAGGGTCACGCGAGGCACCGCTTACCTCCACCTGTGGGAGCTGTCACCATCCCTTAGGTGAGTGTATCCCCGTCGAGCTACTGTACCACATGTGGGCGTTTCTCGTTCGCTGTAGCATAGGGGGCAGCTACTACCTGCCACAGAATGATGAAGTCTAACGAGAGAGACCAAGAGGTAATATTTTGGTGAAATTTTGGAAGGTCGCAAATTGGTGAAAGTTGGGAGATGTCTTTAAGATGTGTGGTCTGCTTACTCTGATCAAGTGGGAGGCCACGGCCCTGTGAATCTGGCGGTGATTTTTTGTGGAGAGGGCGCTGTGCCCCTAAGTGAGTCAGACCTTGCGTGGTCCCGCAATAGGTCTGAGATTATTGCGACACACCGTCCAGCCAGTATGATGCTAATCTTGAGACATATTTTGTGAGGCCAAGCTAAGGGGCTATACTTAGTATCGCTGGAACTGTGGAACCTAACTCCCAGCGAGGGCCACAGACCGGCGCAACCTGGCAGCGGGACCACGACTCACCAAAGGGTAAGGTTTGAGGGGTGTGGCCGCCTCAGAGAGTCTTATTCCCGCGGGATGTCGGAGGGGTAAGAGTCGAGTCATTCTTTTGTGAGTCCTGATAGTATGATTTATCAGGAGAATCGCCCATCGTTGCGCAACCAACGACGGTACCGTTGCTAAAATAACAACGCAACGGGCCGTAGACCTGGCTCGATCAACCAGGCTATGGTGGACCAAGATGGAGACCTGACTCTAATGTACTAGACTGCAGGAGAGATCTGTGATAAAAGTTATATATATATTTTTTTGAATATTGTGTGACGAAGGCGATGGTGTCATCGAAAGGTCTCGGTTAGGGCCCTCGTCCTAAGTTATGACCCTGCATGCAGGACGATGACTAAACATGACACCCAACGATGAGCCGACAGATGTCTAGGAGAAAGGGAGAGGATTATCAGCAACTACCCAGCATTAACTTTATGTTGTAGCATTGATCCAGCACACCTGCACGCGCAGGAGACCCAGGTTGAAACCCTTGCAACAGCGGGACATATTGGGTACTGTTTGTTAACTTCTCGAACGGAGTCGGTCGGCCAATCGGATTGGTTTCTTTCTCGTCAGCATTTGGGGTTGGAGTTGAACTGATAGCTTTTTTATTATCCGACGCGACGGGGAGGTCGCTTAATAAGGCCCGGTAAGCTGTCAGCGCGAATACCCTTACAAGGGTATCCGCCCTGTTTTTTGCAAGTGACAGAAGGTAAGGTTTGTTCATAATCTGAGTATACCGTGCGAGGTTGCGGTCCTGTTTGGTTCACGTTGACTGAATGGTTGACGGAAGCAATGTGTGTGTGGGCGCGTAGTTTTGAGGCGCGCGTGATGAATTTTTGGTTTGATGCTATAGAGTCGGCGCGTCCGCCGGCAACATTTTGGCTTTGAGTAAAGCTAGGGAAAGTTTTCTTTTATTGAGGTGACCATGGTACATCTGCATTCATACGGCACGCGTCATCAGAAGTGGTGTAGCTTTGGGGCAGTATTGGGGTAGGCGAGAGAAAGTAGAACGCAAGCAGTGACCTCCGCGAAGTAGATGCGGGAGGTTGACGGTCATGGACGGAGCCAGGCCCTATGAGCAGCGGGCGTCGTAGGTTGGCAATAGTGAGCTCGGTCCATGGGCAGAGGAGTAGCCTTGATGCATTTTGGTAGGCCGTGTGTCATGCGACAACAATTTATATTGAATTTTGCAGTAGTCCATCTCAACCTCGGGCACACTGACGAAGTCACAGCGAGCGCAGACTCGACCAAGTGAGACTACGACTATAGGAGGATTTTTCTCTGACTTAATAGATAACGGCATTTTGGGGCCATATAAAGTAGAGTGCCCGAGTACTGGGTTTGGCTGTGTGTTGTCGGCAGAAGAGGCTGCCGACGAAGCCGAGTAAGGGGGACGTGAACTAGAGCAAAGGCCGGGTTTTCGTGGCAAGGAGGCAATAAAATGGTGACCTCCTGAACGAGTGCGGCAGAGATGAGAGCCTCGGCCATCGGACGCGGCATTGTGGGGGCTACGAGCGTGACATGCCGAGCAAAATCCGGCCCGAACAGCATGTGCGTGCGTACGGGGCCGTAGGGTTGATGGGGAATCAGGCAGCGGCCTTAGCACTGCGGCTATAGGCTCAGGCTGGCTGCCGCTACCATTCATATAGCGGTCGGCGCGCAGCCAACTAAGGCTTGGGCTTAACCCTATAGGTTATGACATTGGAATGACACTACAGAAATCTGGGGATCAAGGCCAGCAGCAAGCAGTGGAGCGGCGGAGGAGCGCAGCGGAGTGAGCCGAGGGGTTGAGCGTCCCGTGGGACTATCCCCCTTGGCTTTTTGTAGGGGGTTCCGACGGCGGGGCCCGTGAGATACGGGACCGGTCGCGCAGATTTTGCTGAAGTCCCGGATGTACCGTTGGTGTGCTCGTTTTTTTCAGCAGCCTATGGAGCCGCGGGGCAAGGGAAATGCCCTAGTTAATTATTTTTATTTAATTATTTAGTTATTTATTTTAGCATTTCTTCGAGGCATAAAGTTTTTTTGCACAATCCGTGGATAGCGTCGTGTGACCAGCCAAGTACCAGATCCCCAATGCTCCAGGTAGCCAGGGCCTAGTTCCATCTGAAAAGGAACAACAGTGTGACTTGGACCATGCCCGAAAACCTCAAATTTGTCGGTCCTAAAATCTGCATATTTTGCAGGTTTGGGGCCGCAGTGGACTGCCTCATTGGGGCCCAAGCTACAGGTTTGCTGCAGATGGCCAGGGCCTGTCCCATCTAAAAAGGGGGCGCCGCAGGGTGAGCCGAACCATGCCCAACAACCTGGAATTTGGCCCTTCCCAAATCTGCATATTTTGCAGATTTGGAGTTGTAGTGTGAGCATTCCCAATGGGACTAAAAAGATGGTAAACTAGGGCTGAGCAAGGCGGTGCCACCGGGAATGTCAGTGGGGGCTCGCAGCAATACCGCTGCAACTCGTCTATCGGACCTGGGTATAGGGCGGGAGGCTAGCCAAACTGCCAAGTAGCAGGTTCCCTCGGTGGGTTTCCCTTGGGGTAGCTTGAGCTGTGGAACTGTCTCACTGCGTAGCGGTGAGACCATACACGGCAAGAGGGGGACTGTGGTGACTCCTGCGTCTGGTACCAGGATTGGCCAGGAAAAGAACCAGCTGGCCCGGCGCAGCTGGTACACCCACAAAAATACAGACTTGAGTTCGAAGTTCAATGGAGGCTTACCTGGAAGTAGCCAGTGCCATGGGGGTGTCCCAGTGCCGCGCCCATGGGCTAGTCCTTCCAGACATCTGTTAAAATTGGAAATAATACAGAGAAGAGTAGCATGGCCCCTGTGCAAGAGTGACACACACTGATGTAGGACACTTGACCCATAGACCTATAGTTAGTGGTCGTTATTTGACAAGGTTTAGGCCTTTCAGCGTTATTGTTGTGTCCTTTTTTTTTTTTTTTTTTTTTTTTTTAAATCCCTGGGTAGGTAGGCCTGTAGGTTTGGGACCCTCTTAGTCTAGTTTCCATCTAGATACATATAGGCAAATTTCACAGATGATTGCTGTATGGACGACCAGATAAGTCGATAGGGGTCTGCTGTGATGTAGGGAGAGGAATAGAGTAGAAAAGGGGGCGAAGGTCTACCGTTTTGAGGTTCACCTCGCTGCTTTTTCTATCCGCAGCCTTAGTGGAAGTCGGGAGGAGTTGACATCAACAGGAAAACGAAGAAGAAGAAGAGCATGGCGAAGAGAAGAGGGGAAGAGGGAGGAAAGAAGTCATTCCTGCTCTTTCCTTGAGGGAAAGGAGCGGGGGAAGGTGCTAGCTTGGGGGTTTTGGCCATGGCGACCCTGAATCTACTCTCAGATTAACATAAAAATTAGTGGGAGAGGGGTTAGAAGAAAAACGAGGTGCGCGGAGGTGTCGGGAAGGTGACGAGAAGGGGGCAAAATTTTGTGTATCTCGGTCATTTATTGACCGTTTTGAGCGAACGAAGATGCTAATCGGGGGTTTCGAGGCGCTCCAGATAAGATGGCGTCATCAGAGTCCTGTTTAAGGCAACAAGTTAGTCGGTACAAGCTGCAGGGGCTGCGCTGCCGCAACGGGAGTTTTCGAGACTGACAGTGTACTTTTCCAAATTCCAGCGGGAGATTCAGATCTCATTTTGCACATTTAGGTGAGTGGCGCAGGTTGGTTTCACGTGGCGGAGGCACAGTGTG